TAAGAGAACGCATGCTGCATTTATTTCGCGTTCTCACATCGATTGTATACCTGATGTTTCGTCAATCAATACGAGTTACAATCGTCACTATGAAGATGTCGGCGCCTTTGCAACGCACACTGGAATGTAGCACGATTCCTATTGACGCAATTGGCACGTATCTACGTCAGTCCCGGTTGTTTTACAAGTATTCATTATTAATACTTTATTTTACGCGAGTTTTGTAAAATTCTCTTTAAAGAAGAAAATAAATAAATACAGTATGCGCCAAAAAAAATGCGACTCTCATAACTAACGTTCAGTTGTCGGTTTAGTTAAATAAAGTGAGTGGACAGAGGCAAATTTGATTATAACACAAATATCTTGTCCTACCAAATATTTATTCGATATGATTTCTTTTAATTGCAATCACTGCGTTACTGTGTGACACTCAGCAAACATAATAGTGATTAAAAGAGAGTCGCATTTTTTTTTAGCGCATACTGTACGTGACGTACGCGTGTAAAGAGAAGTATTATATTGTATAATTGGATGTACGTATGTATTTCGATCGCAAGCCGACACTTCGAGATTGCTCCGAATTTCTTCTCTTTTCTCTTTTTCGATCTGAATTTTTATTTTTGCACGCATAGAGCATCCCTGAAGTGTCCTATTATATTTACGTCTCTAGAAAGAGAGAGAATTAATTATTTATCTTTAATTGTGTTATCGAGAAGATGCCCACACCCTAAGGAATACACTGTCTTCATATTGACGTAATCGCTATACTTTTTATTTAGTCTTCGGTATCTTTGATTCTGAGAAAATATACGTAAGATATCTTCGCTCATTTCATAATTTGTGCGATTCAGGAAAAATATGCAAGATCTTTCTCGTTCGTTTAATTAATTTTTTGATAAATGACTAATTATTTGTTTATGCAAATATTGGATAAAAATCTAATAACAATTTGGACTACTATAACAATCTTGTATAACGGCAAAGAGAATCGTCACGCTATAACGCACTTGCTAACGGAAGTGAAGTACCGCGCGGTTCCATTATCGTTGAAAACTCCGTGCTGTGCTTTCAGACGAAATCCAGACGAGATCATAAGAGCTCCTGTTATAGACTTCCACACGTCACACCGTGCCAGAAGATCCGGGGCTAATTATGCCGAATATATATATATCTACATCCGTACTCGCGTATAACCGTTGCTCTATACTTAGCACTCACGGGTATAGAACGATTTGTTTACGATTTCTCTCAGCGAACAGCTGGCTTCACTAATGAAGATTTCAGCTTTATCTTAAGCGCTTTTTTATCTTCAGGTGAAAAGTGAAAAACATCCTTTTAATCGAAAAAAATAAGTAAATGATTAAGGAGATGCTGGAGCGACGGTCGGACTTGATCGATAGTACAAATTTTTTTAAATTCTAAATTCGATAATAGTGACATCTTTCATTTATTTCTTATATTTATTTTATATCGTTGTGTCTCACTTAAATGCATTCATCTGTCCTTATCTAACATATTAAATGAAAATTTTCGCATTTCATTTAATTATTTTTTTAAAACATGTCTGCTTCTTATTGAAATAATATTTGAATTAAATTCTAATAATTAGTATAACCGCCAATGTAGAAAATCATTTTTTCATTTTCTTAAAAAAATACATGTAATATATACACATCTCTTTAAATGTGAAATCTCGAATAATATACTATTTGTCCCATTTTTTGAAACCATGAATCCGAGGGGGTAACCACTTAATGTAATCGTGGGACAGAGTCCTCGAAATCATTATAAAATTTATATGAAATCTCTATGCATAATCCGATAATTACATATAAAACCACGAGAAACCATTGTATAATATTAAAATCGTATATTTTATCAAATTACTTCATATGTAGTGGAAAAAATTATTTGTAATCAGATAAAATCATATGAAATCATGTAATCTGTGGGACAATATTTCACCTAGTAGTTACCCCCTCGCATGAATCCATATGCCAATTATTACAGAGCAGAATGATATTATTTCAATCGATGGTATTTCGAACCGAAATGATTTCTTGATTAAGTATCATTATATGTATTATCTTATTATGTCAGAGTGTCTTCTATATGTGTTTTCGATGTGATATCGAAGGATAGATATGGCGTCGGAATCCTTGAAAATCTCGAGCTTGGACGCGTGGCTACTGCGCGCAAGGCCCGTTTGCCATATTATTTTGGGAGTAAGCTCAGGTATTTTTGTTGCTAAATGCGAGAACAGATATAGCTCGGGCGAACGATGACTCTACTCTAGTGACTAGTATACGTCATCAAGGACAGTGAAGTGCATGCCGAACGCTGCTCTTGAAGGATCTACTCAGCACTAGCTCGAGTACATGTGTACTTAATACACAAGAGTGTTCTTATTGCTCTCGACAGCAACTTTGAAGGATCGTTATCTCACGCACTATGTTTATTAGTTGAACATACGTCGAATATACCTCCGTATTTTTTGACAGCTTGAAAAATGAACGTCTACTTTTAATTAACACCTAATGGAGATTTGCTTCTCTATCTACTAAATTCTTACTATCTCGGTACCCCGTTTCTGTAACTCTTAACAATAATTCGATATCATTACATTGTCTTGTTGCATAATTTTTTTATCAAATAGTTATACAATATAATATCTACGTAACGACAATTAGGGCCTGATTCCATTAATACAGTGTAAGATTAGCTTTAATCTCGGTTCAACTTATTTTTTATCTTTTTCTAATTCTAATGCTCCTGTCTACCAATATACATAGTTTAATTTTAATTTCAGTTCAACTAACTGTTTATCTTTTTCTAATTCTGAGAATTAGGAAAAGATGAAGATTAAGTTAAACTGAGATTAAAGTTAATCTACATTGGTAGAAACGGGCCTAGATCTGTTCGCGTTGCTTTCCACATCCAAAATCTTCACTTTCTTTTTTTTCGATGTCCGAATATATATTCTCATTTTAAGTGCAAAAATTTTTATAGATTTTAAACATGGACAAAACTAATATAATGAGATATTGACACTGTATGTGTTGTTAAGAGTTACAGACTCGGGATACTAGAGTCGTCTTCAAATGAACAATCGTAAATTGTTAGCGTTGCCAACATTCGCGATAAGCTCATTACGGACGAGACGAAAGTGCAGATGCATTTTGTGATGCACAGTTGTTTTGTTACCTGCTCGATAGGTTATTCTAGTCTAGAAATGGAACGAATGCGCTGATTTTCGTGCGGTTGATATTTATGCATAAATACTAAAAGTAGTTGATTTCATAGACGTACCAGCTATAAAATTAATGAGAGACGGACGACCGCCTCTAGAAAACGAGATATCATACACTGTTGTCCGTCCATTGCGAGACATCTCCGATTACTGACATACAAAACGCGATAGTTAGCCTACACGTGGGTGGATAAGTATGTGTTATAATCTTTTTCTATGACATGTTTTCGAGAATGGGAAACGTCTACTTAAGAGAATAATCCGACAAGTATATATGCGTGGATACAGACGGCTACATTTCGATATGTATATTCTTGTTATATCTATTGATTTAATTTATATTCGCAATACTATTAATTTTTTTATTTATAATTAAATTTTATAATTTTATTTGCTTGTCAATTTTGCGGAATAATTATTATATATCATATTTTATATTTTATAATATTTATTATTTATTTACATTATAATTACAATGATTGTCTTAAAATATGATAATTCTTAAAATAATATTTTTTGTGCATTAAAAAGTCTTTAAATTTTTTATGAGAAGGTAAAGAGAAATTGCTTGTGCAGAATGTTTACTACCTGGAAAAACTTAAAATTTTTAAGAGACTTCTTTTTATCCTTAAAAATGAGGGATTGTCATGGAATTTTATCGGCACTCAGAAAAATTTTTGGAATTTTACTTATTCTGTCTCTTTCTGATCATTTTATCTTGATAATGCAAAATGTTGACAATCGGTTAGCAATAAATATGGCATACACATCCATGTATATTCACGATTATATTTGCGTATCTCGCGAATTTAAAAAAAAAGGCGAGATGACAGTATAAGACAATATTCAGCAAAAGAGAGTAGCTCACTAATATTATATTGTGAATCTTTCGACTGTCCTATAAGTTTCATTGGTCCAATTGTAGAAAACATAGATATACAATTTTCGTGGAATTCTTGTCTTCTACTAAGTTAGTATATAATTTATTTTCATTAGTTGCACTCCAATTTACAATATTTTGAAGTTGCATTTAAAACATCGTTTAATCTTATCTGGAATTTTGAACAAAAATACCTGGAAAATCCGTTAATTCTTAGAGAATGTTATTTTACAAGAGTTTTTCAGTAAACACTATTGTATTATTTTTAATACGCGAACAAGGATTAAATAATAATTAGTCTAAAATGAATTTTTCCAATTATGAGTACAATAATGTAGTTTTCCTACTTAGATGTTTTCCTACTTCCTTGATAACAGAATTCATCAAGAAAAGGCGTGTTAGATAACGCGCGTCTAACCGTGAATAAACCGCATTATCGCATGTGTAAGGAGAGCAACGATAATAATAATAATAATAATATGCCATTCCTTTTTTTCTTACACGTGGCAACTCGTTGTCAGCTCGAATTAGCCCCTATAGTTCCAAGGTTGTGTAACAATTAAAAGAATATAATTTGAAAGTTGACGTTGATTGCGATACCAAAACATGTTTTTATTGATATAAATAAGTATAATTTTTCCAGAATATCATATCTTAAATAATAAAAGTGATAAATTTTACAAGATTCACTCGTTATTGTAACGATCAATCTTTAGTTGGAAAGTTTCCAAAAACCAGACTACAAGGGACGATTAGCGATGTCATAACGTTCTCATTGCGAATAATTCAAATACAATCTTCCACATCGTTGTCCTTTTGATTTTTTGTCGTGCACGGATTTTGATGACAGGATTGATGATTTCCTTGCAGAATTTCGTTGCAACTGCAAACAAGACGTAGCAATTACATCGAAGAAGAAGACTTTAGACGTCAAAGCTGTGTCGCGGAAAGAACGTCTATCGTGTTTTGCAAAAAGTAAAATCTTTGTGAATCGAAATTTTCGTGATTCGTTTGAAACACCGAGATAAGTCTCAGCGAGATTTCCTCACGATTACTTATCACGATGGCGAACAATTGCACTCGCTCTATCGGATGAAAGATGTACGCTTGGATTGTACACAGCATCGAGAACGGCGCGTCGGATGTTCGGACCCTACGGGAGAATGTCGATTGGACAACCGAGTCAGTCGGGTCATCAGAACGAGAGGCAGTCGAGTGGTAGGAACGGTGGTGGTGCGGTGACCAGATACGGCAGAATTTGGATCGTGAGGTGTCAACTGCTGGACTAATGCGGCCCCGCGATGATCGACGGGGACGAGAAGACGGTGGTGGCCCCCAGGTGGAAGAACTATGTAAGAGACGAAGCGCGAAGCGGGGGGGAGGACGAGGTCGTCGTCTCTCCACCAGCGGCAGCGTGGCTCAGGTGCCAGAAGGTGGCAGAAGAGGTTGGCCTTATAGAGGGTTTATAATTTGCGTAGGATAGACGATGAGCGTCGAGGTCGACACGCTGGAACTCGAGGTCTTCGAGGTGAGTCCTCAACCCCTCTCGAGGATGCGACGAACGGAAGTCGCGCGAAATACCCGTCGTGAAAAGAAGCGATTATGTCTCCGTTAACAAGGAGACCGTACTCGAGAAAATACGGAATACTCGACGATTATATTGCCGAGCGATCACCGGCGAGATTTTAATCCACGTATCTATCCAGACGAAGTAATTGCTTAACATCTCGTTGCCGTTTTATGTGACGTTTCCGATTTAAGGAGAAATCTCCTGGAATTTTCCTTTTCATTGAAACAATTTAGAAAACAAGCAGAGCATTCTTTAAATATATTATTTTAGATCTTTAAGATTTTTTTTATATTAACAGCAATCAATCTGTATTGTTTAAGTTTTTAATTAAATATAGATGACACGACATTTCTCATAAAAACAGATTGTCTTGTGTATGACCTGCAAGCTTATATTAGCAAGCAAGATCTTACGTCTAATTTTATGGTTACATAACTTAAGTATCTGGCAATAATAGTGCACTGCAGCTTAATCACAGTTACAATGTTGCCTATTGCATAACATAATAAGAAGCTAAGTATGCTCTCCAGTAGATATGCGCAAGTTAGATTTTTTCAAAAACATTAAAAAATTATTTCTATTGAACATAATTTTTTCCTTTTACAATCACATAATAATATGTATGTATAAAATTCGGCTTTTTTTATGTTGATATAACGCACAAAATATGCGTTTTAATTTCGTTCGATATCGAGTCGAAAACTGTTCGGAAAAACAATTTGACTTCCTGTGAGTACACAACAACGAGAGTGTAGCTTAGAACCAGCTTGCGAGACTGAAGAGTTACGCGATTTTCGATATTATGCAATGGACTTCCGTTCGCTAGTCCGTGTACCGTTTGACAAGTAATGCGCTTTGAATGTGACTTTATCGGTGCGAATGAGCTATTATCGCGAAGCATATAGATTTGTCAAGTTTTTCGATTAACACAGACGCATTTCTATCCTTATTCATTTTTTATTCCCATGGCGGTTGTATTATTCATACTCGACATTCATATACTTGTGCAAACAGGGAAAAAGCTCTTGAAGATAATTGATTAGTCTTATCAAGGCGATATATCTACTCGTAAATATTTTATGGAAATTATATGCACGCGAATTCTCACCTAGACAAAGTATAATACTTATATAAAATGTAAAGCTAAAATTATATAGACACACTCAAACACACAAGCATATTTGTACTTTACAATAAAATAATTTTTTAAATCTATAATCCCTTAGTGAGTGAAACGTTTTAACTTCACTAATCGATATTCTCTTTCTCGAATGCAAGTTTAATCTTGTTACACGTGGAATTGCCATCGCGTGTAGCTTAGAACCAGCTTGCGAGAGTAAATCGGAGCATTTGAGCCAGTCGGTCGAAACATTCGTAGAGTTTGGTCAAGCGAGCTCCGTACATATTTTGTATTATTATAGAAAATTTCAATACGATTTCACACAATTAAAATGAAAAACGCGAATGCTACAAAGATGGAATCAAAAATGTATTTCTTATAATTCAAGATATAGAATAATAAAGAGATAATTATGATTAGATTTTTATACTTTTAAGATTAGAATTTTTATTTTCTAGAATTATAAAAATATGAAATATGAATCTTTTGTTGTTTTCCATTTGCGCTTATATGTATTATATATTCAGAGAACAATATGTCCGAAATGTGGACATAAAATGTACTGACGACGTTATGAAGATGTCTTTCACAGACATCATGTCATAAAGATGTCCTAAAGACATTTGTAAGACGTCTAATGTCCCCTTTTTGGACATGCATGTTATCTGAGTATGCATTTTAACTAATTTGGCATGCATCACAGTACTGATCATCAACATAGACTTTGACATACACTTTCTCGCGCGCGTACGTCATCCGTGAAGAGAAAAAAATCAAATGCGGCGACACACGGTCGCAGCTTATAACGGCCAATAAAGCTCTTATAGACGTTCAACTTTATGTTCATCGACGTCCTGAAGCTTTATCGCGAGTACCGGAAAAAGTCTCTATTCGCTTTGTCCGTGACATGTTTTCACGCACGCATGCCGCACGATCTATACTTGTATGCGCCGCGCTGGTTTTCACGCGTTTTCTAGAACACCCGCGATCTTCGGGGTTTATTTTACGCGGCCTACATGAATGGTAAATTGCTGGCAAAGTGGAACACACGATGCGCAATCGTCCTTCATGAAATCAGTATATCATTTGCAAAATTTTTTTACAATTAACAAAGATCTGATTTCTTTTTAAAATTTCTGATGCTTGAAAAAGAGTTTCAGGGATTTTCTATTTTTTATACTTAATTATGAGAGCTTTTTCTAAAACAGTTAGGCCCGGTTTTTCATTATCTGATTAACTTGTGATTAAGCTTAATCTAATGTTTTACCCAATGGGCTTCATTTATGACATCGTCTTAGATGAAGCCCATTGGATAAAACATTAGGTTAACTACAAGTTAATCAGATAATGAAAAACCGTGCCATAAAATTAGAAATTTATCAATTGAGGTATTTGGACCTTGTATGACCTACCTAAACTTTGCGATTTTTTTCTAATTTTTTTCAAAATTAAAAACTGATAATCAAATTCAAAAGAAGGAACATTTCTGAACATTAAAAAAATATATAACTTTTTCATAGAAAAATGTCAGAAAAATAAAACATAAAATAATTCAATGTCGTTTTTATAAGATTATTAAAAAAGATATACTGACATGTTTATCGACATGTAAGAATGCACAAAGAATTGTTTTTCAAACAATTGACTTAATGATTTATTTCCACAATGTTCAACAGGCGAGTTAGTAGGTGACTTAGAATTCAGTTTGGAATAACAATATTCAGGTTTGGAATAATAAAAAAAAAACGTTACAATTGATGCGTGTACATTCAGTATAACCTAGAGGTTGACGATGTTGATTCTACTTTACAAAGAGTTTTTCTCTTTTTGGTTATAAACGATGAGAGTGAAGCTGGCAGCCAGACTTAGCAGCCAGAACGCTCCAACCAGGGCCGAATAGGGTACTGAGGCCCAGAAATTAAAAATTAATAAAACGCATTGAAAACCTATTAAAAGTCAGTCACACATTTCAGGTGGCGCAAAAATAGTTAAAATAAGTAAGATTTAAAATAATCTGTCAGGGGGGGGTAACCATTATTGACAAAAAAATTAATTAACATTCAAATACTTACTATTCAGCAGCCCGCAATCGAACGCAAACCCGTAACGACTTGAAAAAAATCACACATACTCTACGAGACGAATACAAAACGATGACATCGCGATCTAACCGGTTAAGGACCTCGTTGTTTATTAAAAAAATTAAATAACATTTATTAACAATCTAGCAGCCAGACCAAACGCAAACTAGTAGCGACTTGAAAAAAATCACACATACTCTACGAGACGAGTACAAAACGATGACACCCCGATCTAATCGGTTAAGGACCCCGTTGTTTATAAAAAAAATTAAATAACATTTATTAACGACTTAGCAGCCAGACCAAACGCAAACTCGTAGCGACTTGAAAAAAATCACACATACTCTACGAGATGAGTACAAAACGATGACATCGCGATCTAACCGGTTAAAGACCTCGTTGTTAATTAAAAAAATTAAATAACATTTATTAACAATCTAGCAGCCAGACCAAACGCAAACTAGTAGCGACTTGAAAAAAATTACACATACTCTATGAGACGAGTACAAAACGATGACACCCCGATCTAACCGGTTAAGGACCCCATTGTTTATAAAAAAAATTAAATAACGTTTACAAACAGTCTAGCAACCAGACCAAACGCAAACTCGTAGCGACTTGAAAAAAATCACACATAGTCTATGAGACGAGTACAAAACGATGACATTGCGATCTAACCGGTTAAGGACCTCGTTGTTTATTATTAATTTTTTTTATTAACAATGGGATCCTTAACCGGTTAGATCGCGATGTCATCGTTTTGTACTCGTCTCGTAGAGTATGTGTGATTTTTTTCAAGTCGCTACGAGTTTGCGTTTGGTCTGGCTGCTAAGTTGTTAATAAATGTTATTTAATTTTTTTTATAAACAATGGGGTCCTTAACCGGTTAGATCGGGGTGTCATCGTTTTGTACTCGTCTCATAGAGTATGTGTAATTTTTTTCAAGTCGCTACTAGTTTGCGTTTGGTCTGGCTGCTAGATTGTTAATAAATGTTATTTAATTTTTTTAATTAACAACGAGGTCTTTAACCGGTTAGATCGCGATGTCATCGTTTTGTACTCATCTCGTAGAGTATGTGTGATTTTTTTCAAGTCGCTACGAGTTTGCGTTTGGTCTGGCTGCTAAGTCGTTAATAAATGTTATTTAATTTTTTTTATAAACAACGGGGTCCTTAACCGATTAGATCGGGGTGTCATCGTTTTGTACTCGTCTCGTAGAGTATGTGTGATTTTTTTCAAGTCGCTACTAGTTTGCGTTTGGTCTGGCTGCTAGATTGTTAATAAATGTTATTTAATTTTTTTAATAAACAACGAGGTCCTTAACCGGTTAGATCGCGATGTCATCGTTTTGTATTCGTCTCGTAGAGTATGTGTGATTTTTTTCAAGTCGTTACGGGTTTGCGTTCGATTGCGGGCTGCTGAATAGTAAGTATTTGAATGTTAATTAATTTTTTTGTCAATAATGGTTACCCCCCCCTGACAGATTATTTTAAATCTTACTTATTTTAACTATTTTTGCGCCACCTGAAATGTGTGACTGACTTTTAATAGGTTTTCAATGCGTTTTATTAATTTTTAATTTCTGGGCCCCAGTACCCTATTCGGCCCTGGTTGGAGCGTTCTGGCTGCTAAGTCTGGCTGCCAGCTTCACTCTCATTTATAAACGAAAATATAAACTAAATAAATACTTTATTATAAATACACACACATATATATATATATTATAAATAAATCTCTTGATAATTATAGAAAGCAATTACTTACTACATAACAGTTTTCAATTTTGAACTTAGCATAAAAATAGAAAAATATTACATTGTGATCACGAAGTTCTGCATTTTGCTTTACTAACAATAACAGAATAAACAAACTGAGCAATAAATTAATGCAATCGAGTTAGAACGAACAACTTGCATGCATGCTTTATTTGTTGAATTTATTGTATAATTACCCACAAACAATGAGTAAGCAGGGCATATAAGTGCAGAGCACTAGGCCACATAAGTCTGATTACCTCCTTATATCGAAATTATGAAAATGGCGCTAGCTTCACAGAAATGTGTAATCAATATTTATACTTATGAAGAGTAGATATATCGCAACAACAGTTTCTTTTTGACTTGAGGCGTAAATGCAAAATCATTATATCAATCTAAAATTATTCTTATTTTCACGTTTGTTATGAAGTAACAACGTATATACATATGCATTTATGTATATTATTCATGACTTAATTAGCTAAAGTTAATTGATTTAGATCGGTTTAAATCTCCTTTATAGACAATTTTACGCTTTTCACTTTACGCAATACTCATAAAAATGCAATATCACGAGATGGCGCTGAAGTCCCGCGAGGCTTCCCAAAGTGGTCGATTTATTTTTAAGCATTAACAAACAAGATCTGCAGAAGCAGATAATGGCGCCTATTTTAATCCTATTTTATGCTTGGAAAATATTAAATCGAACAGTCATCAGTAAGTAGAATCGCCTAGCTAATATGTTATTAGTAATAACATATAGATAGAATGTTTCATGAAATGCCACATCTATTCTTAACACAAATTTTGAAGAATTTGCTAATTTTTTGGCTTTTTTTTGGCAATTCTATATTAACAAAATAAAATCTTTGCACATCCTTGGCACTAATCTTTGATTGCACCTTTAGCTTGTTTCTTTATCCTTCATTCGATGTTTTCTGACGCGCATCGCGATCAATGAGAATTCTTGCTCTCGCCCATGATCGTAAACAATAAAACGAAAAAGCGCATCTCTCGTGCCAAACGGTGTGTCCTCGACCGATCGTTCCTACCTGCCCTTGAACGTGAGTCAAGTAACGTAAGCGTTTATATGTCGCGCGACCAAAAGGTGAAGGACTGCGACGGCGAGATCGAGTCGACGGATGCGACGACGCGTCGGGGTAGTGCAAGGACAACGACAGCGTCCAGGAGCAGCGAAGCAGGCGGGCAGCGCAGGTACTCGACGCAGGAGGCCGAGGAAGACGATGATGGCGGTGGTAACAATCGCAGGAAGCGAAAGAAGCGACGGAAAACGCAGCGGAACAAGCAGCAGTTGCAACTGCAGCAACCACAGCTGGAGGTGACGACTGGCAGCGGTCTGCAGCGGTCGCACGCGCTCGTTCTCGCTTCGTCGTCCGATGAGGTGGAAGCGGTGGGCGAGTGCTCGAAGAGGGACTCATCTAGCAGCCTGGGCGGCGGTAGCCGGCACAACACCTTGCGAGAGTCTCTGCTGACGGTGCTGGGCAAGCTAGTGATTTGGAAAGGCACTAGATACCGCTCCGCTACCGCCGCGTCGTCCTCCTCGTCGGCGCCACCGAATTCACCACCCGCCACCGAGTGCATTGGTCGTAGCACGTCCTTCTTCTCCAGTGGTGAGTTCCCACGAACGAGATCATCGAATAGTTTTCCCTGGGAGTTGCATCGCTGACTCGAGTCAAAGTTCCGGACGGTTGCGATATGCACTTATATTTGATATCTGTCAAGGCAGATATACTTAATCAGTCACGATACATGTCGATATGACAATTTTTTTTACTCATGCTCAGCGATAACATTTTATGATATTTAATAAAAAATACGAATAAATTGATATAATATCAAAACATATAAAAATACGCTATCATGTATTTTATTTTGCATTATTGGGAAGAATAAACGCGAGTTTCATTGACATAGTTACGATTTAACACCGATCGCGCGCACGTTCCATTTAACTGACATATCGCATTTATGTTTGTTATTTTTTATTTTGGTCGAAATCCATTGCAAACAATAGTGCAGATACAAACTTACGCACTGGATACGGCGATCAATGTTACTAATTTTAGGTGTCATGCAAATTTCAGCGACTTACATACTTTGTATGACTGACCAAGGCTCCGTACCTTGGACACTCGAATGACTTATTAAATTCCATAAATAAGCAAAACGAAATACCCAACACCCACGTAGTTTTCATGAACACGTGACGGTGGGGTGTGCCTGCTACTCAAGGATCGATTCGATCGTTCTTCGTGGTAATGCCAGCATTGGACTTTGCCACAATTCATATGACGAGCCAACATTTAATAGTTTATCCAGTTATGTGGAACTGCTGCAACGTGTGTATGTGTGTGTGTGTGTGTGCGTGCGTGTGTACAGGGTGTATCTGAAATAATCATGTATCTACAATATATGTAGTATATATAATATATATATATATACATATATACAGTGTGTATTTGAAATAATCATCACGCCCATTAATCATATAGCGCTATTCCTGAAAAAAACTGAGTCGAAAAGTCCTCTACTATTTTACAATTTTCGCAATATTTTTTTTAAATCACCTAATGAGCAAAATGTCTAAAATCGACGTATAAATCAACTTTAAGATATCTTTATGAGTTCTTTAAGAAATATCTTCAAGATATTTCACAAAAAACACTGAAAGATATCTCATCAAAATTGTCTTATACATCGATTTTATCCGTTTATTCAACAATTTTTGGAAATTATATCTCGTTAACTATTACAAAAATTGCAAAATGGTACAGGACTTTTCGATTCAGTTTTTTATTAGGAATTGCACTGTATGATTAGTGGGAATTATTTAATATCAGATACACCCTGTGTATATACAGAGTGTCCGGTAAGTTTTGACAAAGCGCTCGTGTGTAGATAAAACGGACTAAACTAACAAGGGAAGTTCCACAACTGTCTGAAACCAATTTGATTCTCCATGAAATATGTTGTAAAACACGTAAATCTAAGAGAGACACGTATTTTTTTATACGTGCGCTAATTCATGTTTAAGAGGTGAAACACCCCTTTGAAAAAAACAGTTTTTCTTTTGAAACGAATATCGTCAGAAGTATAAAAAACAGAAAAAAGTTTTTTAAACAAAAATTGTATGGTTTCAAGAGTACTTTAAAGTTATAAAGGAAAAAAAAATTTGTTATTTTTTTGTTTAACAAAATACCTCCACCACCCATAATTTTCTTAAATTTTCATTTTTTTTTAACCAAATTAAAGATTTTTTTTTTACGAATTCAACCATGTGTAATAAAGTTACATTACGACATTTCATTTTCGAGAATTAATTATTAACGCTTCCGTATATACGCTATCCATGCTCATATGCGTAATTGTCGTCAGAACAATGAAATACATAAATCAACGAATAAGGAAATTAATATAATTGATATTTGTAACATTACAAATTATAAATAATGTTAAGAGTTATAATAATTTTTTTTCCTTAAAGTTATTATTTCTCCTTAAAGTGAGTAAAACTTTTTTATTCATCTCTGTACATTATATATACTTCCTTATAATATCTTAAGATTATTCTCTTAAAGTTATTTTCAGTTTTACGTTTTAGTATCTTATTTTACTTGTCGTTTACGTAATAATTTCTAAACGTATTTAATAATGAAATAATTTCTAAATGTTTATACGCAATAAATTTATATTTTGTATCGTTTACTCATTATACTCATTACAATAATGATACTCGATGAAAAAATGTTTTAAACATGACTTTTTGCACCATGAACATTTTACTACAGCTATATTACTGCAACCTTCGATATCATGTGTTGAACTTTTGTCAAAACTAAATTCTACTGGATTTTCAAATGCTTCTGGTCTTTCGTTTGTTATAACTACTTTTAAATCACGAATATTTAAATAAGTTGTGATATCGCGGGGATGACAATTGATTACGTATCAGAGATTGTAATTTTATTATATTATTTCGTTCATGTTAATTTATATTATTTTCCAATAATAAAACAGTATCTGAAAATCTTTTAGCAAAATTTTTTCAAATTCTAAATCCATAAACATCTAATGGTTATATTTTCCCTGTAGTGCCTTTTGGTATAATCATAGTAGTAATATATTTTTCTTCAGGTGTTAAATCTGAAATAATATTGGGACAATGTTCAATTCATGAATCGATAAGAAGAACGCTATTAGAATCAATGTTTGGAAAATAATCTAACCACATTTTAAAATGATCTGTAAGAAATATAAATATTAAATTAATAACTATTTTATGACTGTTATGAGATTCTTAAATAAAATATAAAATATATCATAGAAATGAGACTTATCATTATATTATTTCGATTATGCAAATTTATATTTACTTTTTAATAGTAAAACGGTATCTGAAAATGTATTGTAAAAGGAAATTTATTTAATTACCTGAAGTCATTTTACCAGATTTCAATGCTTTTACAATAACATTTATTGATGTACATAAGGTTTCTTGTACTCTCGGTCCAAATATACCATTAGTTTCTTTTATTAATACAATAAATAAGGGTATCACGGCAAATTTCCATTACACGATATTATTAGTTGTATAGTGTATGAATGTGTTGTTGATGATATAGATTGCACAACACACTCTACTTTCTTTACTCCTTGATTAAACAATGACTTTCCAGAATGAATTTCCAATTAGAAACCATTTTGATCAGAATTAAAAACATTTTCAGATCCGAATTGTTCGATAAGTGGTTTCACTGTTTTCAGAAAATCATTAGCTGTATTTTTCAACTGAACGGAATCTTCTATTGTTCTTCTAGTTACAAATTTCGTAATTTTTCTCGAAATAATTCAGTGGGACTTTTTGAATCTTGATACCCAACTGTGAGATGCTTTAAATATAGGATTTAAATTTTCTATTTCTTCTTGAGCTTGTAAAGTCCACTTTTGTAGATCGATATCATGAACTATGAATCCTGATTCAACAGCTGCAGTAAATTTATCAGGTGTAAATTTGGAGATGTAATATAATTTTTCTATACGATTTCCACCTGAATGTAATTATTCTTCCCATCGTCTTAATTGATGTTCAGATGAAACTCTTCTAAATTTATTTTGTACTGATTTTAGCGGATGATTCCTTTTGTTTTTATTTTTTTCATTAATGTTCCAATTCCGCCAATACTCAACAGCTCATCTTTTATAAGAACTATCAAAGTCTGCGTCATCATTTGAACATGGAGGGTGAGAATTTAAATTATCTTCACTCCATGCTTCTTCATCATCTTCAATTATATTTAATAATATTTCAGAATTATATAGTTTATAAGGTTCTTGATAATTGAAATAATTTTTCCGTTACTTCCAACCCATTATAATGAAAAATGCTATCTAGCAATAATTTTTGTATATTTTCTTTTAATTCTATTTCTGCTTTAGTTACTGGTGTTTCTGTTAGATATATTGAACTTATAGATACTAATAAAAGTCTAACAACATTAAGCGGATTAACAATCATTTCCAAAAATTAAACTTTGCTTTGAATCGTAATATAAAAACAATTTAACAAATTGCACAAATATGATTATGACAGAACTACTGCATCGACTGAACGTAAAACTGCTACGTGAATATTCTTATACTGTCCATTTATTATACTTATCTTGAATGTATACATAAACTTATATCATAAATTACCGTCCAGTTATTATCTAATCTCTTTTATCAGTGACTTTCAGCAGAAAAGCAGCTTTGTAACATCTTCCAATATTATCTTTGAAAAATATGTCACGACTCTGATACGTACTTTTAGAAGGTTATATTTTATGTCATTACATATCACAAATTTTTCAGACGTGACATTTTCCAATAATTCAATGCACTTTCGATTATAAGATAAATATAGCATGTTGATAAAATTTATTAATTTGCTCAAAAATATTTTTGAGCAAATTAATAAATTTAAAAAAAGTATAATATTTTTAAATGAGTTTTTTTTAATTCATTCTTCAAAGAGAGAGAGAGAGAGAGAGAGAGAGAGATTTAATTTTATACAATAATTTTATTATAAGGGAATGAATTTGGAATAAAATTGTCTTTAATTTTTCTTCATGGAAGAAATTAAATGTCAAAGAATTAATTACAAATTATGTATATATTTTAAAAATTATTACATTTTTTAAAATCTGAATACATATATACAGTTATAAGGTATATAGAAAATCCAAATTTTACTTAAGACATCTTTTCATATATATTATTGTTCCGACGACAATTACTTACGCATATGAGCATGGATAGCGTATATATGGAAGCGTTAATAATTAATTCTCAAAAATGAAATATCGTAATGTAACTTTATTACACATGGTGAGAACAAAAATTCTGGAAACATTCTTAGAGCTCTATGAGAAAAAAATAAATAATTTTTGTCTCTTGCTATTTTTCTGTAAAGTTAATAGTATTTGAGTAAATAATTATTGAAAACCAATATTCGGCAATTTTTGATAATTAAAATCTTGTTAAATATTGCGAAAATTTCAAAATGAAAGAGGACTTTTCGACTCAGTTTAGTCCGCTCTATCTACACGCTAGCGCTTTGTCAAAACTTATATACAGTGCCCATCAAAAATATCGAGCCGGCTGAATATCTCGGAAAGTATGCATTTTTAAGAAAAATGTTTTAGACAAAAATTGTAGAATTTAAAAAAATCTATTAATGATTTTATATATATCAGTTTGGCCTTGGGAGGCGTTGCCAATATCGAGTCAAGATCACATCGATTTTTTTTAATTGGACATCCTATTTTTGATACCAGAATTTAACAGCCGATGTCAAAAACTTTTCAAAACGCTACAATAAAGTTCATTTTCATTAATTACTTTTCGAGTTATAAGGCTTGAAAGTTACAGTACCGCCATTATTAGTATTACCCAATGTGTCTAACCAAATATACGAAACATAGAAAATAATAGATGATTAAAATAATTTTGTTGGTCTAGTTGTTGTGTAAAAAAACGTTTATCTTCTTTAGTATCTTGTCGTTTATCTTCTTTAGTATTTAATTATTTATATTGCAACATCCCGTATTTTCTGAATACGACCTGAAAATGACAGGAATTATATAATAGTCCACCATACAATCTAATGAGAATCATTGATTACATTTATACACACACACACACAGGGTGTCCCATTTTAAATAATGCATTAAGATTTCTCGAAAACTGATAGATACGGAAAAATGTTTCGAACAAAAGTTGTATGGTTCGGAAGGGGACATAAGAAGGTATAATTGATTTGACCTTGGGTGACATCATCAAGGCCAGGTCAAGGTCACGTCGATTTTTTAAAATGAAACCCCCTATTTTTCATTACATTCTTGTAGCTTACTTCGAGAGCTTTTCGAAACACTATAATAAAATATTTTTCCATTAAGTATTTTTCGAATTATAAGGCTCGAAAGTTACAGTACAGCGGGCATTAGCATTACGCAAGTTGTCTGACCGACGGCTAAAACCTCTTGAATGTTGTTCAGGATCATGTCCTGGATAACATTTGTCAAGATCAAGGCCATTGGAGGTTGTAGCTCTTATTTTCATTTTTACATAAAAATGAATTTTTAGTGCAAAAATGAAGATAAGAGGAATAATCTCCAATGGCCTTGATCTTAACAAATGTTGTTCAGAACATGATCCTGGGCTACGTTCCAAAACTTCCTTTGCGAGGAAAATTTATTTGAAATATATAGTACACGTAACGTATACTATAGCATATAGAATAAAATCTTCCTCGGAGAGGACGTTTTGGAACGTAACTCTGAACAACATTCAAGAGGTTTTAGACATCGGTCGGACAACTTGCGTAATGCTAATGCCGACAGTACTGTAACTTTCGAGCCTTATAACTCGAAAAATACTTATGGAAAAATATTTTATCATAGTGTTTTGAAAAGCTCTCGAGGTGAGCTACAAGAAAATGTAATGAAAAATAGGGGGTTTCATTTTAAAAAATCGATGTGACCTTGACCTGGCCTTGATAATGCCACCCAAGGTCAAATCAATGGTACCTTCTTATGTCCCCCTCCGAACCACACAATTTTTGTTTGAAACATTTTTCCGTATCTACCATAGTTTCCGAGAAATCTTAATGCATTATTTAAAATGGACATCCTGTATATACTATAATAGATATCAATATACAGAGATACACAATAAATGTTTCACACATTTATTGTATTATTTTTACAGAAACAGAGAGGCGAATTCGCGCCAATAATCGCGAGTACAACTCACAGTTTAATTATGCGGTAAGACAAAACCCATCTTTGTACTTTAAATGTTACTAAATTTAAATTTAAAAAGTTAAAGGAATGAAATATTGTTAGAAATTTAATATACAACGGATATATATACGTATTTCTGTTGATTTGCAGAATAATTACATCAAGACGTCCAAGTATTCGGTTCTGACGTTCCTACCATTGAATTTGTTCGAGCAATTTCAGCGGCTCGCTAACTTTTACTTTCTATGCCTGTTGGTGCTTCAGATGATCCCCGCCATATCTTCTTTAACTCCTATCACTACAGCCATACCGCTTATAGGGGTACTCACGCTCACTGCCGTCAAAGATGCCTATGACGACTTTGTAAGTATCCTATGATCTTATTATTTTTTCCTACATTTTAATAAAAACTACTAATATACTATATCAAACTAAATATATAAAATTAAATGTCATGTCTTTTAGAAAGATATTTAAATAAGATAGACTTTATAATATATACATATACAAAGATTTTATACAAAAAGCAGAATGTGGTCCGTGAAAAAACTAATAATTCAATATAACTTTCAGCAACGGCATAGCAACGACTCTCAAGTAAATAATAGAAAATCCCGAACATTGCGGGGTACTAATCTTCGTGAGGAAAAATGGTCGCAGGTTCAAGTAGGCGACGTAATCAGAATGGAGAACGATCAGTTTGTCGCAGCGGATGTTCTACTGCTAACGACGAGCGAACCGAATGGCCTCTGTTACATCGAAACAGCAGAATTGGACGGGTACCTTTTTATATTATAAAAGTCATTCACACACAATTATACGTTTTAAACGGGTATGTGAATACAATCTATAAAATTTGTATAGGGAGACGAATTTAAAGTGTCGTCAGTGCCTGCCCGAAACTGCCGAGATGATGGATAATCACGAATTGATCGGCCAGTTCGATGGAGAGATTGTTTGCGAAACCCCCAATAATTTATTAAATAAATTCGATGGAACACTAACATGGAGAGGAAAAAAGTAAGATTAATATTATAAATAGAGCAGAGCGAGAGCCAGGTAAAAAACAAAATATTTTAATGCTACGGCTTCTTGCAGAAGCTAAAAATATGCAAAGCTCTTGCTTTGCTGCATTAATTTCACTAGTTATCAGCGATACCGATGTCACATCATAATATTTCGCAACTAATTGCAGGTACGCATTGGATAACGACAAGATTATTTTACGGGGCTGCGTGCTTAGGAATACGCAGTGGTGCTATGGCATGGTGATCTTTGCGGGCAAGGATACCAAACTGATGCAAAACTCAGGGAAGACCAAATTTAAGAGGACCTCTATAGATAGACTACTGAATCTTCTTATCATCGGAATAGTGTTTTTTTTACTTTCCTTATGTCTGTTCTGTATGGTCGGCTGTGGTATTTGGGAAAGCCTTGTGGGTCGTTATTTCCAGGCGTACCTACCTTGGGACTCGTTAGTGCCGAGCGAGCCCATTACCGGTGCCACAGTGATTGCCCTACTCGTGTTCTTTTCGTACTCTATCGTATTGAACACAGTGGTACCGATCAGTTTATATGTGAGTGTCGAAGTTATTCGATTTGTTCAGTCATTTTTAATAAATTGGGACGAAGAAATGTACTACGCGCCCACGAAAACACACGCTAAAGCAAGGACTACTACGTTAAATGAGGAGCTAGGCCAAATAGAATACATATTCTCCGACAAAACCGGGACGTTGACGCAGAATATAATGACTTTCAATAAGTGTTCTGTGGCGGGCAAGTGTTACGGCGACGTCATTGATGAAGTTACCGGCGAGGTCATCGATTTGAGCGAGGTGAGTCGTTCTTTCATTGATGCGAAGATTCCTGACTCGATGCCGGCGACAGGGTATGTGCTACAACATAAATTTTCACATTATTACAAAGTTGTACATATTGTTTAAAATAAAATAAATACGTTATCCGTATTATATTAGCTGTGCTTTTAATGTTGCGTGAAAAAATATAATATTCTCATGCTTCCGCTGAAAATTTTTTGTTATTGTATAGAGAGGTTACATATTGCATTTTTACATTTTATATGTTATATTTTATATGTTATATTTTTTTTATTAACAATCTATGCTACATTTTATTATGAATTAAAGCTGATAAACGATGATCATGTAAGTAAAAGATTATAGAAACGTCTGTATTTTTCTTCTTGCAATCGTTCAGCAAAACATGTTAAAAAACTTGTCCATATTAATATGCAATTAGCATTAAAAACATCCTTGCATATTATTATATCCATATGTGATTTGTTGAATATTCCTGAATGTTTATATGTAGTAACGTGATTCCTTTTTTAATCATACATGATAATTCTCTTCAGTTACATATAAATATGATCTCGATTTGTGGTCGTATCTTTGCAAGAAATTTCATACACATCCCTTTAGCATGTGTGTGCTGCATGTAGACGGACAGAGCTGTTCCAACGGCGACGATGCAGAAGAAGAGAGACCGAATGTAAGGCTTCTGGAACAAGCAGACAGAGTGTCTAATACAACACCGGAACCCGGCATCAACGGCAGCCCAAAGATTCCACACAAGTCTTCAGTACGCATGCTGATAATTAGCACCTCTTGTCACCAATTTGTACACGCTATCGCTTTTATTTGTATATCCTGTTGTTGTTCGAATCGTATATATCATATTCATTATTATCTGTTTAGCGTTGTATTCGTAACTTATCATATATAATATTATAAGTAATAGAAACATTTCTGTTATCTTTATTACGCTCAATAACTGTATTCGTAGTGTTTGTGCTTGTTAAAACTTTATATTATGCTATAAACTAAATAAATAAGCTACACTTATATCACACAAACGCACTATTAAACCTAATTTCTTCCATAACTATTTTCTTATAATGTATACTTTGACAAAATTACAACTACTAGTATATAATCCAGGTCTTCCATCAAATCTATTTTTATGGAAACAAGGTACATTATTCAGATAATCTAGCTTTCCGTTTAGCTTTCTTACCTTTCTTTTTCAATAACAGCAGATTTCTCGATCTCTGCAAATTAATACGATTAATAAGATTAACTTTCTTCCACATTAACCTGGTACGCCAACAAAGTGCGAAGTTTTTGAAAAATCATCGTACATTTTACAGACAATGCCACCCTTGGATTTCTCATTTAACAAGGACTACGAACCAGATTTCAAATTCTACGATCCCGCGCTGCTCGAAGCCGTGAGACGGGAAAATCAGGACGTCCACAGTTTTTTCAGACTGCTAGCACTTTGCCATACTGTTATGCCGGAAGAAAAACACGGCAAGATTGAATACCAAGCACAATCGCCCGATGAGGCTGCCTTAGTATCTGCAGCTAGAAACTTTGGTTTTGTTTTCAAAGAGAGATCGCCCAACAGTATAACGATTGAAGTAATGGGAAAGAAAGAGATATATGAACTTCTCTGTATTCTGGATTTTAATAATGTGCGAAAGAGGATGTCTGTAATTTTAAGAAAAGACGGACAACTCCGATTGTATTGCAAAGGAGCAGATAACGTTATTTATGAGCGATTAAAAAAGGATAGTGAAGAGATAATGGCAAAAACATTGGATCATCTAAATAAGTTCGCAAGTGAAGGCTTAAGAACACTGTGCCTTTCTGTAAGAGATTTGGACGAAAGTTTTTTCAATAATTGGAAGCAACGACATCAGGAAGCGGCATTAAGCCAAGAGAATAGAGATGATAAGCTGGATGCGATTTACGAAGAGATAGAGAAAGATATGTCGTTATTGGGTGCTACTGCCATCGAAGATAAATTACAAGACGGTGTACCTCAGACTATCGCCAATCTGAGCCTCGCTGGTATCAAACTTTGGGTGTTAACTGGTGACAAACAAGGCAAGTTAAAAAGTATATAAATATGATAAGTAAATAACGAAAAAACTTGTTTGTATTTGTAGAATAACATTTTCACGTCAAACTTTTTTATTCGTACAGAGACAGCTATCAACATTGGATACTCATGTCAGTTATTGACGGATGACCTCACGGATGTCTTTGTGGTAGACGGCACAACTTACGATAGCGTGGAGTCGCAATTAATGCGATATTTGGATACCATTAAGATGGCCTCGACCCAACAAAAACGGCCAACTCTCTCCATTGTCACATTCAGGTGGGACAAGGAAAGGTCAGGCACATGAAAGAGACGGAGTACAACCTATCAATTTCTTCTATTGCTGATTCTAATTAACGCATTCTTGTTAAGAAAGGAAAGGAAAACTATCTCTCACACTGAATGTGGCACTATGTTTCATGTAATGCTTTCTATGTCTATATAGTCTTGCCTAAGAACTTATCATATTTAATTAGAGAGAACTCGTAAGCTTTATATTCAAGCTAGCGAATCTCGCAACGCAGTTCAAATTAAAATTATTTCATAAGAATGAAAAAACGTTTTTACATAGAGTATAGAGGTATTTCGGATGATACAAGAATGCAACGAATTGTATTTTGCTAGTAGCTTAATTCTTCGTACGTGCATTGGTTTGTACATATCCCATTTTTTCTATTTATCCTTCGCGAAATCCGACTTTGGAATAATGATCTGCATGCATATGATAGTATTTATACCTTCTGTATTTAAAAAGCATTACAAAAAAATTATCTTCCACACTTTTTCCAATTATCTTCTTCTCAAAAATATCAATATCAGTTCTACTTTTTTATAATAAAACAATGTGGCTAGAATGGTAGATTAGATCTGCCTTTTTAAATGACTTCAGATATTTTTCAGATATATGCATATGTTATATCTGAAATATCCTACGATTTAGTAATATTATAGCTATAGATAACTGAGATTTACCATGATGCTTGATACTCACTCCTTCTCTTTCTGTATGCTTAATAATTAATCTTAGTGATAACATTAACACAACTGGTATGTTTGTGTCACGTTCTTGTATATAGTTATTAATACAATGCACTGTGTATCGTTTAGAATTAACGTGCATCATTTCTTAATGGCGAGAAGATAATTTCAAAATTTCCTGTCATTTCGTTAATGATCACGATTTATTATCTTCGGTTCAATTTTTGCTATAATTGTATTGGTTATAATTGTGAACTAAATAAATTTTAGAGTTGAATTATTGCGTAAATAATGCGGGCGATATCATCTTATATGGGAAGAGATTCTTTTGCTTGAAAGCATATTTTCTCTGCACAGCAGTGATACCGAATACAATCCTAGTAGGGACGAACAGGATGAACACGAGATGGAGCAGTCAACGGGATTTGCAGTAGTTATAAACGGACATTCTTTAGTTCACGCGTTACATCCGCAGCTGGAACAACTTTTTCTAGAAGTGTCCAGTCAATGTAAGTCAAAATTGATCACACGTGTTTAGAAACAATTACTCAATAGCTCGAATTTCTTGCAGGTAAAGCTGTAATATGTTGTCGGGTGACGCCATTGCAAAAGGCGATGGTCGTTGAGTTAATTAAGAAAAATAAATCTGCGGTAACACTAGCGATTGGCGACGGCGCCAACGACGTCTCGATGATAAAGACGGCCCATATTGGTGTTGGTATCAGCGGGCAGGAAGGATTGCAGGCGGTGTTAGCCTCCGACTATTCGATAGGACAATTTAGATTTTTAGAGAGGTTACTTCTGGTCCATGGCAGATGGTCGTACTACAGAATGAGTAAATTCCTTAGGTATTTTTTTTACAAGAATTTCGCGTTCACCCTTTGCCACATCTGGTTTGCTTTCTTCTGCGGATTCAGCGCACAGGTAAGATCTTCAAAAACTTCACGTTGTCGTATTACATTAACATAATGAAGATATGATGTTTCAAAGGCGAATATTATTCATAATTTTCCTTTGTAAGAGCTTGCTCCGAAGTTGAGATTTTGAATATGTATTTAATTATTTTTCTGATATATTGTAGAAAATAGCATGTAAATTGTACTGCACAATTAAAGTTGCATAATTATCTTCCGCATTTCTGTTTTTACAGACTGTATTTGATCCTATGTACATTTCCGTCTACAATTTATTTTATACCTCATTACCAGTCTTGGCGGTTGGTATTTTCGATCAGGATGTTAACGATAAGAATAGTTTAATGTATCCGAAACTATACGCACCAGGATTACAAAATTTGCTCTTCAACAAAAAGGAGTTTTGTTGGAGCGCTTTACATGGTTTTTATGCTAGTTGTGTATTATTTTTAGTACCTTACGGTAAATATTTTATATCTACTTAATGGCTATGTTTACACCATGCGCTTAGTCCGTGACCTATACGATAGGTGTCTTTGTTTAACCTACAGAATAAACAAGGACTATTGTATAGGCCGCAGCCTAAATGCACGGTGTAAACACAGCCGTTAAAAGAATGTTAATGTCTATTCTTAAATTAAAGCAGATTTATGCAAACACACATATCTTATGTATCTTATGTATTTCAACAGGGACATACAAGGACGGGGTATCACCCAAGGGTTATGTACTTTCTGATCACATGCTGCTGGGCAGTGTAGTAGCCACTATATTAGTTATAGTCGTCACTGTTCAAATAGCTCTCGACACATCGTATTGGACAGTTTTCAACCACATTATGGTGTGGGGCTCGCTCATCTGGTATTTTATTTTAGATTACTTTTACAATTTCGTCATAGGTGGTAGTTACGTCGGCAGTCTCACGATGGTATGTATTATGACAAATTCTTGTTCATATTCTCTGTCGCAAGTATATGCAACACTTGTATTGTAGTTTCCAACACTTGTAATTTATGTTTACAGGCCATGTCAGAAGCGACCTTTTGGTTCACTACAGTGATATCCTGTATAATTCTGGTGATACCAGTACTATCATGGCGATTCTTCTTCATGGACGTTAGACCGACACTGTCCGACAGAGTCAGACTGAAGCAGAGACTGGCACAACTACGTTCTCGTCAAAGCCAAGACATATTACGTACCCCATCTACGAGACGTACACGGCGATCTTTACGCTCAGGCTACGCCTTCGCTCATCAAGAAGGTTTTGGCAGACTCATCACGTCTGGAAAAATTATGCGCAAATTGCCAAATGGTGCTGATTTTAAGTTTTCTATGCCGTTTACGAACAATGTTACGAAGCAGGTTAATGTTGCTACAACATCACCAAAGGACAACAGCGCATCTAGAAATTCACATACGTTGGACACGATCAATTTATAATATCTCGAATGTTTTAGTCAACTCAACGGACACTAAAGTGTAGATGACTAATGAGGTTCTCTTAATTTACTTAGCTACGAACATTAAGCCAAAATGAACTCGTCGAATTTATTGATTCTGGTGTATCCCATTGAAATCGTGTTCCCAATTATTTTTTCTTCTTTTTTTGTGTTAATTAAAAGGTGCAAGTGTATTGTATGTAGTATTTGAGAAGATCTCGTGAAGCATTGATATCTGTGATTGTTATATTTAATTTAAACATTTATTTATTTGAGAAAAATGTTAATCAATTAGAAACTATTACGATTTATAACACATGCCTATAAACAACGATAATAATATTAAAACACAAATGTATGTAACTTTGTTAATACATCTAACGCAATGAATTCCAGTGGGATACATTGAGTTATACTATAATAGAAGTAGCATATGCTATTTACGTCTATACATCACTGTTAAGTATTTATAGATTTATTATGACTTAAATGTATTTACGTGTTCAATATTTTTAAAATCATATTTTTGCACTTTTGCCAAGTAAGTGCACGAAATATACATACTTGATTTAACATTTTGTTGACACAATGGTTATGTACGTAAATGATGTTTTATGATAATTATATACTTGTATAGAAAAATAGCTTATGCTACAATATAGACTACGATATGTTTTATGGAATTTGGTATTAATGTTTTAAATTGTGTGAAAATAATTTTTTATCATGTTGTGAATAATTTTTTATATTTTATTCGATAAAAGTTGAAACATGATAATTACACATCTTGATTCTATATATTAGTATAAAACAACGTTGAAAGCAAGTATTAATAGAAAATACAGAAAGTTATAAGTTTTTTTTATTTTACATAAAATTATAATATTAATTTTCAATCATTTTGAGTACATGGTATGATTTATTATGGTTTATTTATGTGTACTAAGGTATAAAATATTAATTTATAATTTACTACAAAAAATTGAGATGGTTATTTTGTGTAATGTACATATTTAAAAAAAAACATTTTTCTCATTAAAAACTATAAACTAATTGGTAAAGTATGTTCTCAGCATTTAATACTATTTGTGATCCTGTGGATAATTCTCAGTCCATTTTATTAAAAATCATAACACGAAAATCAATGCAATAACGATGGAAGAAATAATTTGCATTGTCAATGGCACTCATTGTACATATAATAGAAGCATTGCTTAGAAGTGTCAAAATCTTGTAATGTCCTATCTTGTATTATATATTATCCCAATATGAACATGATTATTGTAAAAACAAAAAATGCGTTTACACGATATACTAAGAATTATAGTTACATTGATAATTATAAATATAGTTAAATTGCCTTTATAAAATATGAATATAACAAACGATTTAAAATATTGTATCATAGCATTTTGACTGTAAATATTTTAAAGAGATATATATTATATTAAATGTTAAGTATACACATTTTTTAAAAGAAAGTAATATATATATATATATAGATCGATTTAAAATAATATGAAAATAGTAGCTATATTGTATTACACTATCGCGGATAAAGTTTGCCTTGGACTGACTATTGAATACATATAATATATATTAAAGCGACAAAAACAATAGTAAAACAATAGAAAATATGTATTTCTACTTTTAATATTACAATGAAATTTAGAGAGAAATAGTTTGTACGGAAAAGATATGTTCCACAATCAAAACTATTTAATAATTTGAACGGAAAATATTAGAATTTTGTTTGCTTTCAAACATCGTGCCTAATCGTCAAACTACACAGTTTCTCGAGCTCCCGTGATATTTCGTTAGTTTAGATTTATATGATGTACACTTCGTTTTCTATGTTAATAACAAACAATTATAAAAAATTAGTGTATTAATTTAACTTGCTAGCTCCAGGCGCAGGCATTCAGTAGTTTATACTGTAGTCTCTTTTGTATCACATAATATGCTCATCCAAAGTTTACAATACAAAAGTTGATTCTTTCAAACCAGTTTCTGAAGTCTTTCTTTTGCTTATCATAAAATGTCAACTTTTTTGGCAAATATTACATTATTCAAGAAAGTAAATTACCATTGATCTGTGAAATAATAGCATAATGTACGCGTTTTTCATTTGAATGCTAACAAAAGTTAGGGATTAAGTAATGCATTACATGGGCATATGCGATTGACCTTGGATGGCGTCGTGAAGATCATATTAAGATCGACTTGAATTTTTTAAACAGGAACTCATATCTTTTATTACATATTCTTGTAGTTGCCATTAAGTCGTTTTCAAAACACTGGTTACAAATCCTTTTTAGTTGAGATCTTCCTGAGTTATGAGACTTCAAAATTTCAGTACCGCTGGCATTAGCATTACTCAAGATGTACTGTGTGAAGGTCGCACGGGACTTTAATCAAACATCCCGAAAAGGTGAAAATTCGACCATGCGATCTCCACGCGGTACATCTTAGATCATTCTAATGCCGGCGGTACTGAAATTTTGAAGTCTCGTAACTCAGGAAGATCTCAATTAAAAAGGGTTTGTAACCAGTGTTTCGAAAACGCCTTGAGATGAATACAAGAATATGTAATAAAAGATATGGGTTCCTTTTTAAAAAATTTAAATCGACCTTGACATGATCTTCACGACGCCACCCAAGGTCAATCGCATATGCCCGGTAATGCAATGGATTACTTGATTCCCAACAACTTTTGTCTGAAACATTTTTCAAAATAACTACTTCCCCTTTTTTTTTTAAATTGAGTGTATGGGTGATCTGTAATACCTAGTATATACAGAGTGTCCGGAAAATCGCTTGCAATATTTCGGGAAGTGATTCGAGACCCAAAAATAAAGGAAAAAAGCTATATAAATATAGATCCGGAAATAAGTCGTTTCCGAGTTATAACCACTTTTACGTTAAAAAAATTATAATTTATTTTTCGAAGTCACAATTAGCGAACTATGCCTTCACGTGGTGCATCCTGGATAACGCCAAAATAATCTAAAATGTAGTTATTTATGTTAAAACATTATGAAATAAATTACGATTGTGATTATGAAAAATAAATTACAATTTTTTTAACATAAAAGTGGTTATAACTCGGAAATGACTAATTTCCAAACCTATGTTTATATAGCTGTTTTTCCTTTTTTGGGGGTCTCGAATCACTTCCCGAAGTATTGCGGACGATTTTCCGGACACCCTGTATAATTTATGAAGATATATGCAATATCTTTATAAGTCTTTATGTATATAATCTCTATAAGATACTTGCAAAATTAAATATCAAAATTCTGAAATATTTTGTTATGTGTGCTATATCAGTTTCAGAAATATTAAAAATTAAATGATTTCTATTTTAAAAAAGTTAAAAAGACTAAAATTTTTTGGTTAATATCTAAATTATGTTGATTCATCACATGTGAGAAGAAATGTATAGATTTTATTTGAAACTCTATAATTAATATTGATGTGCTTACTTAATGTAAGACGAATAAGAATTATAACACGTCATAAATTGTTGCTTGCATAAACTGTTATACATTCGTTATAAGTCAATGTTGAATCAAATTTGGAAACAAATTGTACTTGCCTGCTGCATGTCTCTATTGATTATATACTAAACATTAATACATACTATAGATTTGAGAAACATAATTTATAAAAATTTCATTAATTTGTATTTCTTGTAGCAATTCGTACCTATTTTTCTGAATATTTGTTTTAAATATTCATTTGTACATGTTTCTTATAGAATGCTATTTGACAATAATATGAACAAATATAATACAGATATGCACTATATTGTTATTATTAAACAATCAATCAAATTTCTAATATAAGTTAAGTATATATATATATTCAAAAATATAATTTTAATATTTTTTTTGTTTGAAATAAACTTTCAGTAATTTCATTTTACTTCTGTATTAATCTATTGTTATATCCTAAACAGTATCTTGTTTCTTTCCAAAACAATATATTGTTTCTTTCCAATACTATATTCAGTATTTCTTTGATGTTATTTATTTTTACAGAGACGTAGGGATTTTTAATATCTTCTCTTCTTAAATGTAAATTGTTCGCTCTATTAAAAATAATATTAAGATTAATATATTTCACGATAGAGTCATGCAGAGGCGCATTTTATACAAATATTAAAATTTTAAATATTCCTTGTACAATACATGCGTTAATGAAGTTTAATATAATCGCAAAATTTTATACACACAAACACACATAGTATTCATTATTCATAAGCAACAGAATAAAAAACTTGATCATGTGGGTACTGAGTAATGGCACACCCCGGTAAAAAATTTTTCACGCATGAATATGTATAAATATGTATAAAAATATATAAATATTCATATATGTATGTATAATTATATATGAAATATGTTCATATATCCTTCTTTCTTTTGTAAAATTATTTTTTAGTGTAATAGAAATAATATAAATTAATAATATGTGGCTCAATTAGAATAAATCAATATAAATAAACAGAAGGGCTACGAGCCAGTTAATTGTATTATATAATTATATATAAATAATTTTATATATAATTATACATAAGTAATTTTTTACATTTCTTCAAACTTGATTTTTTCTAAAACAAATAGTGTGAAAATTGCTCTTTTAATTATTTTTAATGTTTTCACATTACTGTTATTATTTCTATTACACTAAAAAATAATGTTACAAAAGAAAGAGAGATATATGAACATATATGGACATATTTTATATATATGATTATACATGTTTATGAATATTTATGTATGTTTATACATATTTATACACATTCATATATGATAAATTTTTTACCGGGACTTAGATACGCACAACAGATTTTCCCTTTTTAGTTTAACGCAAATTATTTTATCACATTTTCATTTTTATCAATGCATCTCTTCCCTAAAAGTTTTAATATTTAATAATATTACAAACGCATACATATACAATTAGGAGTAATTACTGTGTTGATCATACGGAGAAATAATAGAAAATATAAATATTTTTTATATTTAAATTCAAACGAAAGGGACCACAGTACAATACGTTAACATGAATTTATCATTTACAGCACACTTCATAGTGCTTTCTAAGATTACGTTTCTAATTTAATTATTTCTAATCTATCTGTTACTTTCAATATGTTTGTGATATTAGTCTAAAACAAAGGCATACTTGTAATAATTAACTATAATATAACTGACAATGCAAGGGAAAACATGTAAATAAAATGTGTTTTGTCACAGATTGAAATAACCTTATAAATTAATGTATATTTGTACATGTAAATTAATAATGACTCTAATTTCTAAATGCATGTAACATCAAAGAAATTATTTATTTTACAAAGAATTTCTTATTCCATGTTCAATTCAACAATTTAAAGAACAAGGCACGCATATTTAGGCGTAAATTATTGCTTCAAAATTAAAGAGCCTATTATCCTACATTACGCTTGTACAGT